GTCCTCAAGCCTTCTACTTCTCAGACATGCTTTCACTTGGGCTTGAGCAGCATAGACTCTAGGGAGAGATCTACTAGTGTATTGTAAAACTGGGGACATTGTCAGAATATTGAATGCTCATTACAATATTCTTATGAGCTATATCATTTTGCTAAAACTCCCTGTGGAGTTTTTCTGAAAAAATAGTATTGGTTCCTGTATAGTAAATGAAAAGAACTTTTTATCCTTTACCTTAAAATACCTACCTTGATTGTTATGTGGTGATTGGATGTGTTTTAGGGGAATCTTGTAGAGTTATGTAACTGTTATTTCATGTTCAGTGTCTTCCACAATTTATGTCTTCCTTTTGCAGATGGAATGTAAACTCAGGTTCTTGCATCTGTGATCAGTCACAGTGACTTTTGCCCAATTCGTTTTACCTTGGGAGTCCAGGGTGGCTTAACTATTTACTGAATTGGAGCCTGGTTTTATGGTTCTTGTGAGCTTTTTCTTCCATCTCCCAACACATCTCTGTTATTGACTTAAAACAACCCTGTAGATAGTGGCTCACATGGGAAACTGTGACAGATTCTTAACTATTCAGCATAAAAAGTGCTACCATAATTATCATAATTGAACATACAAAACTGAAAATAATACAAGTAACTCAAGCAGTTAAACTGATATGTAAGCCTGTATCTTTAAAAATAGTAATAACATTTTTCTTTTTTTGGTACTGTTAACTGTTGCTTCAAGCGGATTTTATGACCACATTGTACAGTGAAATAACTGATTACAATAGATGTCCTAGTTCTAGATTAAAATATACTATAATATACATACAGCTTTATTGTTCCTTTAGGTTGTTGTTTTAAGCTAAAGTGGAATATTTTCTGAAGTCCTCAACAACTGTTTACAATTTAGAACTAAATGTGCTTTCTGATTATACTAGTGCTGCTGGAGAAATGTACCTAACAGACCTGTCATTTTTTGTGCAATGGTTTCCGTGGTGTTATTTTCATTGGTAAACGTACGAGCTGATAGAAAAGGAAATCATTAGATGCCCTCAGTATTGCTGAGGCATGGAGCTAGAACAGGTCAGTCACTGCATTTTGCAGATTGTGACATTTTCAATTACCTGTACACTACTAGAAGCAATCTGTGGACCTAATTAACACCTCACCTAATTAATGTCAGAACTGTATATAGAGAATTCTGAATAGTTTTGTGGTGCCTTTATTTATTAAATACCACATTATTCAAATTTGCTGTCTTTAATTTCAGTATTGAAAACTTCAAATTTGTGTGCTGTTTTCTTAAGTGGGAGTAACTTTTTTTTTTCCCCCCTCCTTCAAGTAATCAATGCACTGCTGAATGAGTTCATTTTAATGCACTCAATCATGCCTCTAATGTTTGTAGCTTACGGGCGCAAGCATCAGTAATGCAGGAATGTTATATGGCTTTAGTTTGGGCCATTTCATAAAATATTCATGGAATCAAAAATGTGCATCAAAATAGCGGCTGGGAGAATTACATTTATGTGCCTGCTTTTATGGCAGCTTCACATTTAAACCCATTTGTGTTAATATCTAGTCAATCTTTCTACTTAAAAAAAAAGGCAAAATAGTAGTCTCCATGTATACCCCTTTTGGTCTGATATCTATTTTGATATAACAAATGTATACTTTTGGAGTGGGTTTTAGGAAGGGGAATTATAAAGGAAGTTTTAGATAATGTAAAAACGTTTCTCTTCAGTATTTACAAAATTATATTGAGCTCTTTTGCTTGAATGAATAGATTTATTTTTTTTACTTTAAGCAACTCAGTGAAAACTGTAGCACAAATCTTTGGGCATATGTAGGTAGTTGCTATGAAAATAAGAGTAATTTCTAAAATTTGATACTGTTGGGGCAGACTAATGTCTTATGTAATTGTTTGAAACTGATTCTTTACTCCCAAAATTATAGTGAAAATTTTTACCTCCCATATTTGAGATTAAACTATTGTTGATAGGATTTCTTTTGTTATGCCCTGAGCTATATTAAAATATAACTTTTTAGTAGGGACAGTATATATGTTGTAGGAGTTTTGTTTCTGGTTTTTGATTCCTTTTCTAAACAGGGAAGAGAAATCAGAGATTCTTAAACTCCTTTAGTACACAGTGAGCTAATTTCTGCATGTCGGTGGGAAAAGGCAGTATTAAGAGCAACTGCATATTTCAACTGAAAATAGTTACACTGCTTGGTGCAATGTTTTGAAAATGGATTTTTCAAATATAGGTTTCCTAGAAACATATTCTGGATTTTCTCTTTGAATTCCTAGAGCTACAAAAGATAACTTTCTATAAACTATTCCAAGTGATATTCCTACTCATTGTTTTTCCTCTCATTTTTTTGGTGGGCTTTTGTTGTGTTGTTGTTGGTTTATGTCTTTCAGTTGATAATAAAATTAATTTAAAACTCTGTCTTGTCACTACTCAGATGAGATAAAAATGCTTTTACTCTCAGAAACATTCTGTAATAGGCTTATTACTTTCTTTCAATGTTTTTCAAGATTTTCAGACATCTACCTATGTCTGTGCCTAACAATTGTAGTAGTTCAGCATTTAAAACTTGGAATCTACTGGCCAGATCAATTCCAACTGAACTGACTCATGACAGTAAATAAACTTGCCACCCCCCTGAAAACATTGTTTTTCACAACAATTGAGGTTCACATAGACATTATGGATTAAGAAAGTGGGCTGATATGTCATTTGCCAATGAGAACAAGGAATTTCAGATTATTTTGGTGGAGGAATGAATTCCAAAGTCTAAAATGTTCTACCTTCAGTGAATCTGAGAGGTCTCCAAATAGCTATTATTAGTAGAAAGAGTCTTCAGTAAGCAAATTCCCAGCCAAATAAAGGCTCTCAGGTCAGGAATTTCATCTTTCCCTCATTTAGGAAAGTAGCAGGTATTTTATGGGTTTTGCTCAGCATCTTCTTTTCTGTGAGCAGATTGTATTACTTTTTACTTCATCACCTTTCTTGGTAGTTCAGTGAAGGCAAATGTAGTTTAGTTCCATTTGAATACTACCAGAAAGATTATATTGCTTTTGTATTTTGAAGCTTGATGTAGACGGATTGTTTCTAAAGGGGTTTCACTGAGATCTGGCAAAAAGGATGTTAGGTCACAGCTCCCATGGTTAGGTCAACTCTTGGGAACTATGGGGTACATGGAATATATGAGTTCAATTTCTAGTCTGACAGAAACTTTCTCAAGGGGATGCTGCAAGTGAGGAAGCATGGGTAAGAATTACCACACCTGAGACTTCTAACAATCTCTAAACAATAATTCTGAAGGTTGTGTGTATTATTTACCTAAATGATGTGTCCTGTTAAGAGGTTATGTTACAGAGTCTTAAGAGAAACTCAGATGCCATGTTCAGCTTCAAATTATGTATCCAGGTGATACCATTCCTTTGCTGCTTCTCATTCTTACTAGAAGTTTTTGAGTTACATGTGGCTCAAACTCTGTTATTCTAAAGAATTCATTACACATGTAGTGAAACTAGATCACTTAAATGTATTGCAATATCCTTTCAAAAAGACAATCAGTTGATTCATAAACTTGGGGGAGAATTCCAAGAAGGAGTCTGTGTTTATGAGTACCCAAGTGGAAAGATTAATACTATTAACATCACCTTTCCATCATTTGTGACAAAGCCAATACCGACTTCTTCAATGTCTTAAATCTGTAATTAGCAACTTGGATAGTTCTGTTGTCTTCTGAGTTGGACTTGCCCTAAAAAGCTGGACTAGATAGGCAGAAAACCAAATTCAAATTGAAAGCCTCTTTAGAATGGACAGAAGTTTAGTTTTTTTTCATCTACTTCCTGCTACATGTACCATCAGTGAATCCTTAAACAGCTTACACTGCTCATGATACTTGCACTTTGCGTTTCTGGTGGTTTTTTTTTTAGTCTGATGCCAAATATGTTATATTTTGGAAAGAACATGTAGATCTCTTCCTGTCTCTTTACAGGATCTGATAGGTATTCTGGCAATAAGATTTTTTTCCAACATTTTGAGCCATCTCTCCAATACCTGTCCCTAGCTAGACTGGAACTCAATAAAACTTACTGCCTCCCCTTTCACCTGGCATTCACTCTTCAGCACCTTATTGTTGTGTCCTCTGGGACCCTTACATGAATCATACATTGTAGAGCCTTCAAATTATTTGTCTGTGAAACTCATTAAGTAGTTGCTTCTTTTTGAAAGAGAAGTTTCATGCGCTTGTCAATTTTAATTGAACTCATTTTAATCATCAGAGAAACTTCATATGAAAATAAATATAATTCTAATAAAGATGAGAGATGTTTTATACTGCAAATTTGAAAGCATGGTTATAAAAGGGTAACATATGCAAAAGACAAATCTAAGTTAATAAGAGGAATCTGTGATAGTCATTCTGCTGCCTCCAGGTTGGCTGGAGGCCTGGGGAAATAGCTTTGTTTTCTCTCATAATGCTCAAAGTAGGTCTTTCTCCAAGCTTCTCTCCTTTCCTTTCCTACAGCTGGGAAACAACTTGTCTTCTTCCTGGTTCTTTTTGCAATATGAATGCAGCACTGTAAAAATGGTCTGCAAAACAGTAATCATTCCTTATAGATCATGTTTCAGAAGAGGTGTAAACTGCAAGCACATCTGAACAGACTTAGTTGATGGTTTGTTTCAGCTTTTCATAGAAATAGCAATTGGTATATTGATGAACTATGGGACGAAGTTCCTTCATCACACACAAACTTACAAAGGGTCACGTTTGCAGTTCTCTCTGCTATCGAACATTCTTTGTAAAACCAGGTACTGTGCCCAGAATGCTTTGTTGGTTATTTGTTTGGTATGTAAATGGTCATACCTGTTTCCCAGCAGTTTTTCAGTACCCATTATGTATAAGGAAAAGCATTTTTGTTCTTTCAAGGGGCTTTGAGTTTCCATTGTCCAGAAATTGTGGAAATTTCCTAGATTGCATGTATACACGGAGATGACTTTAGCTGAAGGTAGAGGGGAGGGAGGAACTACTTGCATGTTAAAATGAATTGAACTTTCTCTTCAAACTTTTCTTTGCCTTAAAGATGTTTAACTTGCATCTGAAGTCCTTTAAAGTGTATTAATTCAGGCTCAATAATTAATCTGTTAGTGGCTAATGCTCTTTCAGTAAATTTACCACAGAAATTCACCAGAGTTTGCCAAGTAATAACTGTTGAATTAATTACTTTGCATAATAATTCTTTTTTATCAATTATTTTATTTGAATAAAGATTTTTTTTTTCCCCCCACAGTTTTTTATACCTCTATTCTCCACATTTCAAATCTTTTGGCACAGGTTTTCATTATGAAAAAAGAAACTTGAGGAACAGCTTAGATTGTGATTATTCATGCATAGACTGTGATTTTGAAATGGCATCCACAAAGGCTGTATTCATTCATCTATAATAGATGTATTTTCTGTAAAATTCTGACTTTGCATCTTTGGGATCACACACCCCCACCATTGTGAAACTACAAAGGAAAGCTAATTTAAAATGTGATAAGTTTAAATTACAGCTTTACTGGTAACTGTGAGATTTGGCAGTATTTTCCAGTTATCTATAAGTTACAGACTGAAGATTCTTGAAAAATCTGTGAAATGATTGACTACAACTTTACTTTCTAATGAGAAAATTATCATAGACTAATAACTTTTAAAAATTTAGTTGTTTATACTGATTGTAATTACGAATGACAATTTTCCAGGTCATGTCATGAAAGCTGCTGAGCATTATGAAGCATTTTATCAGCTAACAGAGGGTTCGACATGGAAGGATGAGACAGGCCATACTTACAATGCACTGGCGTGTGAGCATCTCTGGAGAATTTATACGTTAGTAGCAGACAAAATGCTTGAAAATAAAGAACACCAACAGGCCATCAAAACACTAATAAAAGCTTTAAAAATGGCAAAAGAAGGTAGGTGGAAAATAACACTTTCACATTCCTTTATTTGATGTGCGTGCCATGATTTTCCCAAGAGTAAAGTAGAAATTGTCAAGTGTTTGACTGGGTGATTATTTCCTATGAAATTCAAAGACAAATGCTATCAATACACTTGCAGATCTCACTAAAACAGCAGTGCCTTCTTGCTGACAACAAAGAATCTTTTCAATTCCTGAAAGGTTTATCTCCACCAAAAAAAAACCTTGTGGGAATAATGGTATCAAACAGAGAACCCATAATCAGAAAGTGAGGTCGCTGGTGAAAGCTCAGCTCGCTGATTTTTGATTAGCAGGTCACTGTTGATTTGGCAATTTTAGGGCGATATTATCTGCTGGATCACTACCTTTTCATTCTATATAGTTATTTAGTACTTGCAAAAACCAGTTTTCTATCATAAGCAAACAAGATTTTTTTCTGTATATCTTAATGCATTTACGTGTACTGAAACCTAAAGTAAAAAATTAGAGAATTACAGAATAGTTGAGGTAGGAAGAGACACCTCTGGAGGTCATCAGGGGCAGCTAGAGCAGGCTGCCCAGGACTACATCCAGTCAAGTTTTTTGTGTATCCATAGATGGAGACTCTATAAACATTTTGGAAAACATTTTCCACAGTTCAAACACGCTCATGATACAGAAGTATTTTGTTGAATTCAGATGGAATTTCAGTTTGCGCCTGTTGCCTCTTGTCCTGTCACTGAACACCACTGAGAAGTGCCTGGCTCCCTCTTCTTTACATCCTCCCATCAGACATTTGTACACATTGATGAAATCCTCACTCGGCCTCCCCTCTGCTCTCTGAACTGTCCCAGATCCCTCAGCCTCTCCTCCTAGGATAGATGCTCCCAGTCCCTCAGTCATCTCTGCAGCCCTTCACTGGACTCGCTCAACTGTACTGGGGAGCCCAGAGTGGGACACAGCACTCCTGAGGTGACCTCACCACTGCTGAGAGGAGGCAAAGGATCCTCCCTTGGCCTGCCCACAATGCTCTGCCTAATGCAGCCCAGAATCCCGTTGGTCACCTCTGCCATGAGTGTGCATTGCTGCATCGTGGGCAACCTGTTGCCCACCAGGAAACGCAGGTCCTTCTCTGCCAAGCTCCTTTCCATCCAGTCAGCCTGCAGCCTGGGCCACTCCCTGGGGTTGTCTGTCCCCAGGTGTAGGATGTTGTCTTTCCCTTTCCTGAGCTTCAGGAGTCTGCCATCAGCCAATTTTCCAGCCTGCCGAGGTCCCTCTGAATGGCAGCTTAGCCACCTACCTTGTAAATGCTTTCAGTCATCTAAGCCCATGTGAACTTTGCTGTTTATTATTTTTGAAAGTGACAGTCAATTCTTTCAGGTTTTCATTATTTTGTTGTTGATTATATTAATTCTAAAGAACCAACATTTCTCATCTTGCCTTATTTTTATGAAGAATATTTTGAAACACCATTTGAAATCTGAATAGTTTCATGTGGTAATTTTGGGAGAATAAACAAAATAGGACTTTGGGAGCAAGAATTCAAATATTTCCATTCCAAATATTTAATTTTTGAGGGTATGGGGTTTTATTTGGCTAATTTTTTCTTTTATTTAAACCACTGAATAACCTATTTTGGTTTTACCTGTAATTTACATTAATAGATCTATTTTGTGAGTTACCTGTTTAGATCTTTTCTGTCGGGAATACGTACCCAGTACTGAAAATGGCAATACGATTAATCAGCCAAAGAGGGACACTTTTACCCCAAAACTTCTCCATCTTCTCCAGTTGCATCTGTTGAACAGATGCAAGCTTTTAGCTTTTTCTGCGGCTGTTGTCTATAATACATGTTTAAGTCACTGCTGCTATTAAAAATTACTGTAGTAAGAAGGACTGCTGATTTTTTTTTATCACTGATGCCTTTCCAAAATTTACTTTGACCAGGCAGATGTTCCAGTACCCTTACTTCAAATCAATCAGTTTCTATAGATTCCCGAGGCATGTGATAAATATACTTGCTATTATTCTCCTTAAATTTTAGAGGTTCCTTTCAGACAAGTTCTCTGGTCCCTATTCCAGAACCATAGCCTCCAGCTATGAAGCCCATATCTAACAATTTCGTTAAATCCATACTGGCTCTGGCTGCCATCTGTCATATCCTTTATGTCCTTCTGGACCATCATCTATGTTTATGAATTAGGATTAGATATTAACCACTTCAGACTCCTGACTGTTATTAAGTGAGGAAGAAAGTGTTCCTATCCCTAGTAACTTTTCTTATTCCTCTGTGAAAACGTATTTCTGTATCCTTTTGCCCCATTAAACCTTTTAAGAGATATTGAATGTTGGAAAAGACCATCAAACTTTTGAATTACAGGTTTTTCATAATTGTATGTAACATAGTGGTATAGATAGAGCATTGCTATGGCCTCACCAATTATAACACTCAGAGTTCCAGAACTAGATGTAGGCTTCTGAATGTTTGGACATAAAGAATTTATTAGCCTGACAATTATAAGTAGAGGATCTCCCTTTTCACAGCAACTATATTTATTTATGCATTTTACAAAATATCTTGATATGCAGTTATGCTTTGGGTTGATTTTTCCACTCTTGAGCCACAGAAAGAATGGAGTTTGGGCTATTTTTGTTATCATTTTATCTACAATTTTTTTATGGATACTCATGTTCTAGAGGGAATTTTGTTAATATAGTGCAATTTGGTAAGCATTTATATAATTAATTTATATAAATTTCAATATCAAACGGATGATTTACTATTAAGGGAGTAATGTAAAAAGACCAGCAAGCAGTGTTTGTTAGATCAGTATTAGTAAAATAAAACCTGGCATGGAAAAGTGTGATGCCACCTCAATTAGCAACTCCTGTGCAGAATTTTCTATGACGACTGCTTGCAAGTATAGGTTATCTTTTTTTTTTCTTTTTTTTTTTTTTTTTTAGTTATTCTAGCCTACAGTATCTTGCAAAATAGCCATGAGAATAAGAAAGAACCTGGTCTACTGATAGTTCTCTCTTGATGTTTCACTATGATTCACATTAGTGACGTGTATGGATCAACATATTTTGCGTTTATGTATTAGGGTCTATTATATATTTGTAGCTACTTTTATTTATATATGAATATATAGAAAGGCTACTATGATTCTGTAATATGAAGACACTGTGAATATCATTAAACAATTCATGACAAAGTATTACAGCATGTCAAATTCATTGTGCTGCATTACTTGCATTACTTACTGGAAGATATTTTCTCTGATTTTGTTGAACTTTGTTTAAATCTATAGCCTCTATTTTTAATTGCTACTATGTATTTTTGGAAAGATGTAAATGACAAGGGTAAGGAGAAGGAAAAACTTACTGCAGTATTTAGACACCCATATGTTATTTAAGAACCCGCAAGGACTATCTCTACTAATGTAATTTTGTTCAGATTACTCTGGTAACTGTAACTTCAATCCTTTCCTTAGGAGATGATAAGAAGATGGAAGGAGAAGCTGTGTATTGCTTAAGTTTAGCCTATCATTTTGCTGGAGAACAAGAGACAGCATTATCAGTAAGTTTATTTTAAAGTTGTTTTAGCTTTCCCTATGCCTTTCTCTGCCTCCTTGGCATCTTCTTAGGCATTCTGGGGAGTGGAAAAGACTTGGAGAGACTTGTATCACAGACCTTTTAAAACTCTATGTAGTTATATGTAGACAAGGATCCATGTGGCTTAAGCAATTATGGTTCCAACAAATTCCAGAACTGATGGAGTCCAGGCTTCCATACTTGGCTCTGTAGAAATAATATAAATTGACAATTCAGGTTATATTGTGACCAGCTTTCCTTTTCCTGTATTCATACATACATAAACCAGTTTTTATTTACTTAGTTTTTTGTATAAAACACCACTTTTGCAAACTAGTTGGATACAACATATTTGTGAGCAACAGTTAAAATAGATCAATTCACATGCTGAGCTTTTCATAACATCAGGAATTTAGAAGAAATATGATTTTTTGTTTGTTTGTTTTGTTTTTGTTAGTATGAAAAACTTTAGTGATGTTGCAGTCTCTTCTGTTGACATTTGCGTTCAAGCTTCTCTTCCTACATTTCCCTGGAGCCTCCCGTACATAATAATTCTAAGACAATGAGAATCCTACATGTGGAATTCTAGTCTGGAAAGAGGGTTCCTTTAGTTCATCATAGGTCAGTGTGAAAGATAAGCATCAACTAGATTCGTCTGTGCCAGTCATCAGAGAAGTCAGTCCAACACAATCCTCTTAAAAATGTGTGGAAAATTAATTGATAGGAGTATTTTTGTCCATGATTATTGTGATTAATCAACTGGGTAATTACTATTTCTCTTTGTTCCTTTAACTGCAGTGTGACTTGGTATATGGTTAATGAACATGTTTCATAGAGGTTATTCTTTGTGATTATTTGGTATGGTGGCTTATTTTTTTAGAAAAAGAGTAATAGAAGTCACAGAGTAGATTCAGCATGGGTTTCAATATTGCTTGGTTAGCTTCTGAAAGTGTAGGAGGGGTTCTAGATTACTATCTTGAAATATCCTCTTATATGCTTTGAATGAATTGTGGTGTGATTTTTTCCACATGTTATTGACCATCTTTATAACTAATTCTTCAATGCTGATAGGCCTATCTTCTGTATAAATCAACTGAATGGTGGAAAGTGGCAGCCTCTTCTCACATCAGTTGCACCTCAAGTCTGTAGTTGAAGGTGAAAATATTTCAAAATTAAAAAGCTACATACACATTTATGAAATTATATTTATTAGTTGCAATAGCAAGGAGAAGAGGATATCTGATCTCTTCCAAGAATACAGTATGACAGATTAGACTAGAATCTTTTGTACTGAAGTTTATCGGCATTCTTTTTGGACTGACGAGTGTGCTGGCATTCTTACCTGATCAGCTTTTCTGTTAAGTTTCTGAGAGCCACAATAAGCTGTGTGAATGGTGAAGAGCAGCAAGATAAACAAATGTGCTAAATAAAGAAGCCTGCATGCATATTTGATCTCTCCATCACAGGAAAAATTAATTAATGAACAAAACTGGTACGATGTACAAAAGATCAAACTACCCTTGAAGGTGTCAGAAATATTAGATGTCCTGGCATTGTTTCCTCAGGATCTGTTTTATTTACATTTTATAGCTACTTCTTTCCCTTCATTGCTCCCCCATGTCTCCTGCCAAAAAGTTACAGCAATCATTTGGAAGTTCCATTTCTTTCTGTCACATGCAGAATTTTTTTGTTTTTTAAGGAAGATATTGAAACCTTGAATTTTGTAACATACTACTATTAATGCAAAAAATATACATAATAGGTTTTGCCTGTTTTTTTCAGTCTTACAAAAACACCTGACAGGTAAGGAAAGCAACGTGCATTTTTGTTAAAAGGGAAAGAAAGCCTCTGTATTACAAAACATAAACGATACATTATGTTAAGAGTATAAAATTTTATTTGTACAGTAATGAATATACCAATACTTTTCAGTGCAAATAATATAATATAATATAGCGGCATTTCCTAATAGAATGCCATTTCCAATAATATCGCGTAAGAAACCTATGAAGTACTTTCATTCAGAAAATATAGTGTGTGTTATAGAACTAAGAAAAATGGGTAAAATTTTAGCTCCTTTTGTCCTTCACAGTGATCAATATAGACAGCAGTAAAATATCAGTGGTTGACAGTACTGTTGAGCACAAGTTGTCTTCGCTCTCCAATTAGAAATCATTGCCTAAAATTTACCCTTCTGTTCTCAGTTTAATGGTCTCTGTATCCAAGGGGAGCTCAGATGCTTACGGAGATGAAATCATTGCATCCTGTTCCCAGAGGACTACTGGTTATCATTACACATAACATGCAGACAATACTGCTAGGAGCCAGTTTGCCTCATGGTAATATGTAGTTCATCACCAGCTTCTGTAGCATGCTAAAGAGGTCTTGCCACACAGCTTGGGACTATTCGGGTGTAGACTCAGGGGTCTCAGCAGTTATTTTCCTGCTTTGCATCAGTTTTCATCTTCTTTATCCTTTTGTGCTGTGGTCCACCTCAGGCAGTCTCCTTCTAGGGGAATCTGAAAGGAGCAGCTGTTACAGATACCGTTTCCTCCAATTGTTGCCACTTTTGCTGTGCAGCGTGCTACTCCCTCCCCCAACACGCACACACCGTAGTGTGCATATAAACTTGTTTCTCTTTCATTTATGTCTTCTAGCAGAGTGGAGAAGCATATGTTCAAAATATTCATTATCTGATGCGGTAATTAAAGGTTGAAATGATTAAGATGCAGCCTATTATATCAAAAATATGCAGTCACTTTGTATCAAATGGGCTAGTTTTGTTGGAGGTTTTTTATTTCCTAGGCACTTGGTGTATAATCTCACATAATTTGATTTGCTGTATAATGTGTATAAATTGATTTAATTTTATTTGATATATATGATTGATTTCAGTGGACCCACTCAGATGTAAAAACGTATGTGTGCAAGTTAAAAGCCTGAGAACTAATTATGTTCAATAGCAGTGTAGTATGTTCATGATATTTTTCATATCATCTGGTTTGTAAACAAGCCTAACAGCTTTTCCACAAAATATTACTCGTTCACATGATACAGATTTTATCTTACACATTATAGATTTTGTCAGGGATAGTTCTCCGTCTAGGCTAATTTAAGCTAAAAGTTACTGTTTACTTCTTTGTCTTCAGACTTGTATAACAAAGTATTAAGTGAAACACTTCTGTGTCGTTAGAAATCATGCATAAGGTATTGTAATCCAATCCTTGATGTGAGATGTTGGGTTTTTTTAAACTGGGCTTTCAAAAATGCTTCCAAGAGTTAGGCATCAAGGGTTTTTTCTCTTTCAATCAGAATTGTACCCCAAATCATCAGGAAAATTTCAGTTCTCATCCCTTGTCTGAGCATTAGGTTTTTTCCAAGTGTTCTGTATTTTGGATATTGAATCTTGTGTTTCAGATATGTTACATATTTAAATAATAGAGGCAGTGTTCATGAGTACTGAGACTCATGCCAAAATAAATGTGGTAATTTATGACATAATGCTGTGTGCGTGAATTGTCAGAATTACGATATACAAGCCACAGGCATAAAATTATCAAGAAAATTTATGAACTTACAAAGCCATCTTCACATTCAAAATGACCCTATTAACGTAATCAGAGGTGATTTATGACCATAAAGTTAATTTCTGAAAATGTCTATGTCAAAACAACTGAAAATTTTGTCTCAACTCATGCAGCTAGAGAGAACATAAGTAAATGTATCTGGGATGCAGATATTCTGTGGTTAGTATGCATGGTATATTTCATCTAATTATACCTGATATCTAATTATATAGATTACGCCCATGTGTGTGTATGAATTTGGTGAATCAAGGAGGATCTTGGCAAACAAAAGAACTCCAAAAGGCAGACTGATTGTTATCTTCTTTTCTCCCAAACATTGTGAAAGGTAGTTGAGAAGAATGAGCATTATTCCTGTGAGATTTACTTGCCATTCTAGTGCTTTGCTAGAAGGCTGAACTTCAAGACACTTTTCTGTCAGTGGTGCCTGGGTAGACAACTGAGTTTAGGTTTAAGCTTTCATTACCGCTACTATAAAAAAAAACACTTATTGGAGATTTGCAAAACACATCCAAAGATACTATTCAATGGAAATTATTTCAAACTTCCTTCTTTTAAATCAGCCAGATTGTCCTTTTTTCATCTATAAGTGATACTTAGCCATTTGTAGTGAAGAGTAACGTTTTCAGCTTAGCAAATGGTGTCACGTGCTTGAGAAAACATTTTAGCATACCAGTTTAAGAAAAGGTCTCATCATTCCTAGAGGCTTCACTTTTATTGAAATGATTTTTAAATTGTTCTTAAAACTGTACTCATACAGAAATTTTGTATTTTTCATATCTGAGGAATAAAAAACACGTAAAACTCTGAGTCATCTTTGAAGGTAGGTACTTCTGATTGATCTTGACACTGACAATGGGTTATGTACAGAGAAAGGTTTTCTTCTTGAAGGTCTAGAATTAATGAGTCAGTTCTGAAACTGATTACATTTCTGAAAGGTCCCACTGCTGCGAGGCATTGGTGAAGATAGTACAAACAAAATAACGTGAGAACAATTAGTACTGGTACTGAACTTTACCCTGACAAAATATAATGACTCAAATACTGATGGAATTAAGAAACTAGAAATTATTTGTGTTGAGAATCTTAAAGAAGTCCTGAAACTTCAGGAAAGAGGTGAAAATGTGATCATTCAATTAACAGTCTCATAGTGAAGGAAGGATTTCTTCTGTTGGTTTAATTTAGACAACCACTTTCCTATCTTAGGCTGTATCTTGTAAACATGAAAAAAAAAGGGGGGGCTGGGCAGGGCAGGGAGGAGGAGGGAATGCTTCTGAGTAGCATCTCTTTTTCTTCAGTACTTTTCTGTATACCACATTATTTCCACCTTGGTGATATGGTGCCAACTACAATTGCCTCGGAATATGGTATTATCTTCCTTTTGAATCTGTGGTTCAAATTG